CGTCAGGCGTCTGGCAGCACGCAAGCTGGAACGTTCACGCAAGGGAGTTTCAGTGCTTACTGCAAACCTCAACACAGCTCTCCGGACGTCGTTGCCTCGTCAGGAACCGAAGACTGTGTGAAGGCATCATTGGCATAATGCATCGTGCCGGCTCGATGGATCATCAAGTCTATCCGAAGCCACTTTGGTTTGCTTCCATGCCGAAACATGCCGGGCTCACCCCAGCAAGACCTGTCAGAGCAAAGAGGGCATCACTCCGAGCCAGATCGTAACATTAAGTGTGTGAAAGCCACCAGGGCTGACTTCATGTCTCATACCGAAGAATCCTTAAATCCTCCATCTGCCCGGCACCCGAAAGCCAACCAAGCCTGCCTCGCACAGGTGCCTCCACACCCGGCGCTGTAGCCTTCAATTGGCATGAAGTTTGGGACTGTGTCATCAATGCGTCTGATGCAGGGAGCACATTGAGAGAGCAGATTGCGGGATGTCGGCAATGAGACCCCCCACCTGATAACTCCAAACCCTCAAACCAAGAGCCACTCTGTGCCCCAAACAGTGGCATCCAGCGCCCAGAGGAGCCATGGTACGGCGACTCGTATCCGCATCTTACCAAGCTCTGGCTTCAGACTCTGATCCGTTGTTCTCTGGCTTGATGCTGTTCGGACGGAGGGGGCTTTCAGCTCGCTTCTCTTTCGGGACCACTCGGTTCGTCGATTCTGGTTGTTTAGAACTTCGGTTTCTTTAGGGTCACTCGCCACATTATCTCATCTTTAGTGAAACCTGCCTACCAACGTTGCAGCAGCACTTCTGCAACTTTAGCAAATCCTCAACTCGGAGTGCATCAGAAACTCGGGTGGCCAGTGGCCAGGGCCAGCTGCTACACCAGGCAAGGGCTGCCATCTAAGCCCGGCACAATGACGTCTGGGAGGCTTCCTAACCGGAGAAGGGTGGGCATGGCTGGACAACGGCCTCTCTGCTTTCATGCTTCTTCCACTCCCACTTCACAGCAGATCAGGAGCTACCGCATTAGAGGTGAAACGTCGGCCGTGGAGTTGTGCCTATTCCAGGACGTCGGGAAAACTTGGAGAATGCCTTCTGCTGTTTCCGGGTGGTGGTTCGAGGGATCCACACCTCGCAATAGAACTCGCAGCCGCCTAGACATGCGTTTCTCAAACATGAGGTCGCCGATTGCCGATTAAATCGATTGCATGAGCGACTCGAGTCGCAGACGACCGTGACCTCAAGTCTGGAAACCTCTGAATCTACAGCAGTTTAGGCTCTTTGCCAGCAAAGATGAGTGCTGCCACTGTACCGGCCGGTCACCATCTGTGCACGTGCATGCCGGCCTCTGATCCCTCAGTGCACCTCTACTAGGAACCTACAGGTTGAAGCAACTGCTAAGCCGCTAAGCTCTCGAGGGATCGGAACGGAGTCGGCTGCACCGTCCCCGAGTCCAATGAGGACCCGGGAGAGCGCCTTCTGAGGACTTGAAAGAGCGCTTCTCAAAGCCGCTAATGCCACGACGCACCGATCTGCTGCATGCAGGAAAACCGTTCATCATTCTGCTCGAATTTGTATCGTACATATGTGTATGTATATGCATATATGTGATGAAAGATGCATATGTGTAGATGCTCGTTTGCGTATTTTTATCTAGCTACTCATTCCCGTTAGCCTAAGGTGGAACCTGCCACACTTGTCCTAAAGTGGCCCCTCGGGGCATTTGCGATTAAGGTCGATGGTTCACTGCACCTGTGCCGGTGGACACACTGTGTGGTAGTATATGAGATACATGGGAAGGGCCTAGTTTCAGTGCTTGCCTCACTCTGGCTCATCACTCTTCTCGCACACGGCCTGAAGCTGGCACGAAAAGGAATTGAATAGAATCGACATCCGAGACGTGCGGATTCTTCGAAATTGGCTTGTCTGTCAAGTGCAGCAACTCCAGTGACAAGCGACGGCCATTGCTAAATCCAAAGACCTTTGCAAGCTCCCAACGAATTACAACTTCGATCTGGTGCCTCCACGGGGAAAGGGCAGGGTGAGCATCACGAAATGGAAAAGGACTGTGTCAAACTATCTCAAGACTCTTATGCTCTGCTGCTTTGGCACCCTCAAACTACGGTTCACCTTCATGGCTATGGCACGGTCGCTCAAGGCCCCGCATCAACCACAGAAGCGAAAATAACACTCGAGACTTGAAGCCGTAACTGCCGTAGACTTCCGAGCCCGGCCTATGGGATGGTAGTGGCCAAAGCGGACCTGCCCCTGTTGGCACGCTTGGAGTTCAGGGTTTTTGGCTTTTCGGGAGCGGAGCGCTTCAAGACACCTCCAATGCGACTCAGCGCCACAAGGCTCAAGTTGAAATAGCTTGGAATACTTGGAGTTTTGATTCTGCGGGCTGAACCCAGCACCGTCGTGTCCGGCATTGAACTTCACATCTACGAACCCACCAGACCTGCAACTTTTCCGACACCGACGGCTCAGCAATCAGTGATGACATAGGCGGCTGGAAACGAGCGCCAAGGCCCCAGCAGTCGCGCCCACAAAGCGGCGAGGGTTGGGCCTGTACTCAACTCCTCTAGAAGATCAGGACTGGGACTTTGGGAGCTTCCAGCCCTTTCGAGCCCTGAGACGGAGTCTGGTCCTTACGAGCTTGTAAGCTTCCAAGCCCTTCAGCCCAGATATTACCAGCTGGAAAGCTTCAAAGCCAACGGAGGCAACTGTTCCAGAGCTTCCCCGACTGAGCTCCTCACCCGCGGCTTGGCGTGTGCGTCGGATGCCGGTGCCGCATAGCTGCGCCCGAGTTTTGACTGCAGAACAGTGGCAGTTCGATGATCGAAGAGTTGTTGCAAGACGTCGGGTCGAGTTGTGGGGCCCCGCAGGACTTCGCGCATACGGCATTCCGGCTTGTGAGAGCCTTCCTTTCATTGATCATGCAGAGCAGAGCATGCTGGGCGTCCTCTCCCGTCGTGTCACTGAGCGCCCGCGGTAGCCTGTGTTGCCGAGTCCTTGGGCTGTCAGCGTGTGCGAATGCTTCTGTGAGCACTTTGTCTCCCGCCTCGAAGCAGCGTCTGCGGGCTCCGGGCTCCGCGAACGACCACGCTGAAGCCTTCGTACAGCAGTGCCAGAGGCTGAGCAAGCTCAGGACACGAGGCCTCGAAGAGCTTGCAAAGCAGTGTGGACAGATTTTAGAGATGTGCGTCTGTGTCTTTCGATCTTGGTATATGGCTTCGAGCGCTGAGCACTTGGAAGTCTTGAAGGCAGAAAAGACTCTTAGTCCAACCGATTCCGGCCTCGAGTCTACCTCCCCCCCCCCCCCCCCGCAACCCTCCCTCTGCTCAGGCTCCATCTGCGCGCGGCGGGGCGCGAGACGCGGGAGTTCCCTCCAGTCCTGAGCACGACAAAGCTCGAAACGAACCTCAACCCTCATCCCTACAAAAGGAAAGTGTAGTCCACATCACTTCCTCGCAACGTCGTTGGAGAGCTCCGAGAAAAACAGCAGGCACAGGCTCTAGTAAGACAGGTCCGCCTGACTGCCTACTCTTCTTCGCTTTGTCGTTCCTTGTGGAAATAGCTTGCTGCTCGTGTGCTTCGACTCTTGGATCACGTGTCAAGCTTTTGCGTCGTACTTCTGTCCAAGATTCCTGAAAACTGGAGACCAGATGCTCCAAAGGTTGCTGCCAATGTCTGCTGAAATGATGTGCGTGGCTTTGCAGAAGAAGGATGCGCAGCCAACGCTCAGCCTACCACGGCAACGTTCCTGTGCTTCATCATCTAAAAGATCCCTCACCCTTCAAGTCTTTGTCATCATCCGACGATTGCTGAAGACGACCCGTCCAAGCAAATGCCCCTCTTAAACGATGGCTGTCTCAGCCTCGACACGCAAACCTATGTCGTTCTGCCCCACCTCGAATATTGATGCAATGCTGGGCTCCACACGTGGCGCTTCCAGAGGCACGAGTGCTGCTGACGGAGGTGTCTTGCGAGTCAAGGGTGTACCTCCCGAGAGACATGCGGCGGCTGCATGCTTGTGCAAGCGGGGGGCACGCAGCTCTGCTTCAAAAGTGAGGGCACTCCGTGAAATCATCCACAGACCACTGGTTGCTGTCTTCGTCTTCGGATAAAGAGTCCCAGAAGAGTGCCTCCAGAACGAAGGTGTTTCAGTTTAATCAACCCCTGACGTGGGATTTGAGAGGAAACGCTAGCCACAAGCCAAATCGCATACAGAAAGGCAAGCCGCAAAACGCTCCTAGTCATGAACTCAGCGCCACACAGACGCGGCCCCAATGCTGGATCCAATGTCGTCAGCCGACTCGAAGTGTTCAAACACCACTGGACCTCTCAAGCGACTCTCAGGCGGAGTCCCAGCTCATCGCAGCCAAGAAAGCACCCGGAACACACAGAGCACGCCCCGCACTCACCTGGCAGCGCCAAAGGTTGGTATAGCCGAAGATGGCGTGGAAGCCGGTGCCTGGGCAGACTTCTGATGGCAGGGCCTCCGGTGCCTATGGACTGGACATGAGAACAATCAATGCCCATCCATGGTTTTCGATGCCTTGGCCTGCAAACGTTTTGCCGTCTGGATCTATGACTCTGCCCATGCTAAGTGATGAAGCGGACGGGCGCAGAATTCGGCCAAAACCGAGCATCCAGCGATCCTCGCAACTCGGCTACATCTTCAGGAGCTTCAATGGCAGACTCCACCTCGAGCTGGCGAAAAGCACAAACGTGAAGACGGCTTAGCTGTGTGGGTGTCGGGTTTCAAACCCAATGCCACATCGCTAACTTCGGCCCCACGAATACTGCCAACCCTCGCAAAACATCTCCAAGCCCTTTCCTGAAAGCATTCCTAAACAAACATGCTCTGCAAGTCTGACCAGCCAAATTCTGAACCGTTTCAGCCCATGCAACGAAACGACAAACTAAAACCACGTCGAAAGCCCTGCCCAAAATCCAACACAACATTCAATTGACATTGGTGTAGCACCTCCCGGGCCATGCAGCCCCGCAGCGACGAAATGCTACGGAGGGGCCTATCGTTTTTGAGCCAACGTGCTGACGAGGAACCATGCAACACAGCACATGTTCCAAACCAGTCAAATATCATCCTGCATATTCCAAGACGATTTATGGCAGTTCGCATGTTGAACAAGAAGTGGCATATCCCTCAAGCTCAAAATTGCTATGGTTTCGTGCTGTTCAAACACCGTTCTGCAAGAGGTAAGCGCACCATGCATGCACGTTTGGCATCTGTTGGAACTGTTGACATTCGGCTCTTCATGCTGCACAAACCGTTCTTACAAACCAATCATTGCAAGCAACCGCTTATTCCCAATCACCAACAACCAGAAACAACCAATGACAGCACAATTTGTTATGTTGATGCCACGCCAGATTGAAACCAGTAGTGCTTTGCGCGGTTCAGAACAACCTCATTCATGGCATGTTCATTCGAATGACATTCGTTGATCCGTGTTACACGCAACAGTTTTGCCTCAAAACGGCTCTCTGCCGTCTACATGCCCTACGCCAATTGGACTGCAGGCGACTGCTGAATCGCGTTGACAGCGAAACAAATTTTGGCTCCAAAGATCCTGCTCGGCTTGTTGGCTAAAAAATAATAAAATTGCAAAGCAAACCAAATCGGCGGCGATGCTGGACACAACACGACAAGTTAGGATAACATCAAACGCACCAAACAAAGCCACCTTAACAAAATCGACACGAACGACAGCTGCGGCAAAGTTGACACCCAGAAAGTGGTTCAAACATTTGGAACCGAGGTTGAACTCGGAGTTCGGTGTTCGAACCCAGAGTTCAAACACCGGTGTTCGAACCCAGGGTTCGGTGTTCAAGCTCTGCTCATTCTGCAAATACCACGTGGGCACTGCATGGCCTTCATGCAGTAATCATTGGCCGGCCCGTTGCCATCCGGACTGTCATCAGGGATTTTACCAAGAGGTACAGGGCGATCGACCGGCTTCTCGTAGTCTTCCTCGTCGTCGTCGTTGTTCCAACTCGTCCCCCTTATGTTGTCTCTCCACCCAATTCTCGGTCTTCCACTTTGTGGCTTGATGGTCCGCCCACCATTGCTTGAGTTTCAAACCTCAGCTGCCACAGAGACATGCATGCATGTAAGTAAGCACACAAACATGCATGCATTTATCCGCAGAGACACAAACAGTACGTGCGTGTGCATAGACATCTACAATTTCATAGTGTACATGCATGTACATGGCAAATAAAGAGCCACCAAACAAACGCAACACCAGTCGTCTTTGTTCTTCTTCTTTCGAGCTGTCGAAATGTACCAGGCCATGTCCGGAGACTGTTCCCCATTTCTTAGCCTCGTTGAGGTCGCTGTGGTCACATACGTCAACTGGGCTGCTGGCTCGAGGGTCGAGGTTTCAGGCTGGGTCTTGGTGCTTCGAAGGTTTCATCTTATCATTTAATTTAATTAACCAACCGCTTTTTCATAATCGGATTTTCAAACATATGCCAAGGTAAAGGACTCAAGGTATATTTGCAAATGAATCCAATCACAAGCATGAACATGATTCCAAATAATGCGGCATATGATGCAATCGCACATTCACTCATTTTGCACGGGGCGAAACACGGTCTGGCGACCGCCCCCTTCGGGGGCGTGGGTGAGGAGGGTGGGACCAGTGCAGTAGCACGTACGCCAGCTACGGACTACCACAAGTGAAACGGACTGCAAGAGTAGACAGCAAGCAGCTGAGCACAGCGTACTTGGCACAGCCTACGGCTACAACTACGCAGCTACACCTACGGCAGGCACAGGTGGAACTCACAAGAGAGCTCAACACCGGCAGCACGCAAAGCGAGTGCGGCGGAACACAAGTGAAGCGGAGCTCGTGGAGAGCTCGAAACACGACATGAAAGATTGGCAAGCTCAATGGCACGTAGAGCCAGAGCAGCACACAGGGAGTGGTGGGTGGGCAGAAAATTCTTCCAAAGCTCAGCTCGAGCACTGAGCTGCATACACATGTTGCATTCCAAGACCAATCACGGAGATGCAAAAGTCACTGCAAAATCAGCACAAGTGTAAAATCAAGCATGCCAAATTTTGAAACCAATGTTTGAAAATGCTCGCATCAAGCTCGCAGTCCTTTTATGAAAAAGGGATCGCAGATGGCGCGCGCTTGTCTGCTGAGATCCTTTTCATAATCGGATTTTCAAACATATGCCAAGGTAAAGGACTCAAGGTATATTTGCAAATGAATCCAATCACAAGCATGAACATGATTCCAAATAATGCGGCATATGATGCAATCGCACATTCACTCATTTTGCACGGGGCGAAACACGGTCTGGCGACCGCCCCCTTCACCCCTTCTTAGCAATCTTAGCGGGAGCCAAGAGATCCTTAAGGTCACAACCCGACAGGGGGCACGAGGGACTAACCCTACGACAACCAAGCTTAATCAAGGATGCAAAGTCACCACGTGACGGAGCGTCGGCCACATTGCTCTGGCTGGCAACACGGGCGAACCAGGACCAAGAAGCACTTAGCTCTTCGGCCGCCTCGAAAGACAACAATATGTCCCTGACGTGATGATTAGCAGAGGTGCCCTTGATGAAAGAATCTTGTGCAGGCACATTATCAATGTAGAAGATACATCTGTGTCCCGCGATGAATTGGTGCCAAGCCTTCCTCGCGACGGCAACGGCGTAGGCCTCTATGGGCCCTATGAAGTGACACATGGATTCGGCCCAGCGCGAGACCAGGACAGCAGGGACCGAGCAACCAAAGTAAGTGTGAACCTGATTCTGAAACATCAGCACCCCTCCCACGGTGTGGGAGCTTCCTTCGCTCGCCCCATCGTTGTAAATGTGTACAACGTGATCGGCCACGGAACAAGGGACATGGCGAGGAGTGCCACAACGAAGTCGGTTCAGCAATCTCTCAAGAGACCGCCGAACACAATCATCAAGCTTCAACTCAGGTCCAGAGTGCGCCTTTGCCCAAGACCTAACCTCTGCCAAGAAGAGGCGTCCAGCCTTGCCAAGGATGTACGAGTCAGTGTAGTGCAGGCGACCCATTAAGCTTAGATACCGCTTCCGAGAGATCAATCCCTCCTCAAGGACTTCGTCAAGAGAAGCAATGAGCTCTTCAGCCCGGCCCGGCTTGTTCCGGACAAGAACTAAGCCTTCAGAAAAGCGAGAGCAATCAACCTCAACTCGCAGATCGACCTATGACCCGGAGCGGCAAAAGACTCCTGCCTTCAGTCTTTAGGAGTTGCATGCTTTGCACTCCTGCTGCTATATAGTCTGCTGCACGCCTGGCATGCATGCAGGTACATATCCCACACAGCTCTGGAAAGGAGGCTCGCCCGGGTCTCCTTACACAAGAGCTTGGTCCCGGCTGCTGTGAACATGTTTGTTTCAGGAGAAAAAGCATGCAATTGCCTGCAATCTACATGCAATGCTCCTCCTGTACCTATATCTTGCAAACAAAGATATCGTTATATGTACATATCATAATAGCAATACTAATAATCATCATAATAAAGCTAACAACAGTAATAAGCATGTATGTGAATTCATATATATATATATATATAGATAGACAGATAGTTACTGGTAATACATTTAGTTGTAACCGTATTAAATGTTACGTCATATGCAAACACTTTGTAAGTGCTTGCCTCACAAAGGCTGGCAGCTGTGGCCGCAGGAAGCAGACCTCCTAGTCTCCTGGATCGCCGAAGAGATTTAAATTTCACCGTGTGAAAGTGCGTGTGGATCTATATATAGTATCTATGTATCTATGTATCTATATATCTGTATATCTATATATCTATATATCTATATATCTATACATATCTATATACCTATATATCTATATATTTATATATCTATATATCTATATATCTACATATCTATATATCTATATATCTATATATCTCTATATCTATATATCTATATATCTATATATCTATATATCTATATATCTATATATCTATATATCTATATATCTATATATCTATATATCTAAATATCTAAATATCTACATAATTATATTTATATGTCTATATATCTTTATATTTATATATGTATATATCTACATATCTATATATCTATATATCTATATATCTATATATCTATATATTTAAATATCTAAGCACCTATGTATCTATATATCTATATATCTATATATCTATATATCTATATATCTATATATATCTACGTATCTATATATCTATATATCTATATCCATATATCTATATATTTAAATACCTAAATATCTATATATCTTTATATCTATATATCTATGTATCTATATATCTATATATCTATATATCTATATATCTATATATCTATATATCTATATATCTATATACCTATATATCTCTATATATATATATATATCTATATATCTATATATCTATATATCTATATATCTATATATCTATATATCTATATTTATATATCTATATATTTAAATATCTAAATATCTATGTATCTATATATCTATGTATCTATATATCTATATATTCATATATCTATATATCTATATATCTATATATCTATATATCTATATATCTTTACATCTAAAAATCTATATATCTATAAAACTGTATATCTACATATTTATATATCCATTGAACTATAAAAAGTTTATATATCTATACATATCTAACTCGGATAAGGGGACGCAGTTTGTGTCGCCAAGCCTGCCTGGTGCCAAGGTTGCAACGCCGTTGTCCGAAGAATCTTTGGCAAGCGCTTTTGCCTGGTCTTTTTCGACGAAACAGTAATTTAACTCCTTTTAACTGGAATTTGATTTGGTCAAAATCCTGGTTAAAATGGATTTAAATGCTTTTGAATTTTCGACGGAGCGGACTTCATCAGAATGTGTGAAGGGCAAGTGCGTTCATCAAGGTTGGTTCAAACCAACGCTGAAATCGAGACATTTCGCTCGTTAAGACCGACTTGCACTTGTCCAGAACACGAACTCGCATCTGCTTCGAAGCTGTTGCAGGAGTTGGAAAATGATCTTGCGTCTTTGCTGCTGCGAGAGCAGCTGGCGGCATCCGACTGCTTTGCCTTTGTTTTCTATGTGGAAGTCGCGTTGTGGCGCAGTTAGTTCTCGTTTGTGCCACTTCTACTACAGCCATTGTTGCCTCTGGGTCTGTGCTGCTGTCCGTCTTCCCTAGTTTGTCTCACTCTGTTTGGATACTGCAAAGTGTAGCTTGATTGGCCCCATACAGGCGTCGAGGTTTCTTTCGAGTTTCTTGGAAGCTTCTTTCACTGCGTGTGCTCGAAGAAGCTGCAAGTGGCACACCGCAAGCTGTTTTGCATGCCAGCAATATCCGCCTTCTGGGCGGCCAAGACGGTGGTGGCCAATCGGGTGGAGGAATTGTCTGTAAAA